GAAAATTAACCCTATCTAGAAAAAGAATGGTTGAATTTTCAATCTTTAAGAATAAGATTTCACTCTTCAGAATGAGATTCCCTTTTAGGCAGATATGTATAGTCGATTCTTATATTTAAGACTTTTATATTTAAGGCTTTTAACTACAGCAGTCTTATAAAATGAATAAAATTAGAAAGCCGTATTATTAAGACATTATTATAAAAAGGTTCTAAAAAAAGAACGAACTAGCCCAGAAAGTCACATTAGTGCTTTAAAAGATTACTTAAGACTTAAGTCTTAAAATAAGAATGGACTTCATGAACTACCCTAAAAGTTTCAAAGAGTAAAATTTACCATCCAGTCGAAGAACACGTGCCGCTTCCGCAGCCATTTGGCGCGCACGTCAAGTAAAATCCCGGCCTCGCGGAATTCTCGCAGCCGTCGCCGATCGTTCTCGCTTTCATCTGCTCCATCGTCGAGAATGCGTATTCTAGAGAAGCGTTTCGTCAACACTAATTCAGACACGCTCAAGTGTGGTAAACCACTCACGTTGATGCTCGCCGCGTGCACTTTAGATATTAATTTAGCCCTCTCGCAGATCAACTCATTGATCTCTCGCAAATTTAGATTTACTGTGGCATTCAAGTGCAGGATATTGCTAAGCTGGGCGCTTGTTGATAACGGCTGATTGTTCGGTGTGACAATTAATAGAGGCTGGATAGAACTTTGATATATAAATGAATTTCCTTTGATATGAAAAGATATTATATACAAGACGTCCGTATTTTTATCAGACACTTTTGTGTAAATAGAGCGGACTAAACTGAGAAAAGTCCTCTACCATTTTACAATTTTCGCAATAGTTAACAAGATTATACAATATATTAATTACTAAAAATCGTTGAATATTGGATCGCTGAATATCTTCAATAATTTGTTACTCAAATATTATCAATCATCTTTACGGAAAAATAGCAAGAAACAACAATTGCTTCTTGCCTTCTCATAAAATTCTGAGAATTTTTTCAAAATTTTTTTATACCGTGTTTTCTCGTTGGTAAAAATAGTTATCGATAAGAAAATGCAGCACTAAAAAGTTGATAAAAAATTCTTAAAAAATTCTTAAAGCCTTATGAGAAAAAAATAAACAATTTTTGTCTCTTGCTATTTTTCTGTAAAGTTGATAGTATTTGAGTAAAAAAATATTAAAGACCAAGATTCGGCAATGTTTAGTAATTAATATCTCATTAACCATTGCAAAACTTACAAAATGGTAAAGGACTTTACAACTCAGTTTAGTCCGCGCTATCTATACAAAAGTCAGCAGTGTTCAATGGCTTTAATTGTTAATTATTTAACAAAAGCACACAGGGAAAATATAAGCAAAAATACAAGCAAATTGTACAATCTGATTCTCTTTAGTACGAAAGACCGCAAGAAAAATCGACATTTTATGATTCGCTACACTTTATCTATTTAGTTAAAAAAAGATTTCATTTATAGATTTTATTTACAGTGAGAATAGATTTCACTTATTTTCAATGTATTTACGTTAAAAGATTTGATACTGACTTCCGATGAATCTACATGTGAGCATTCGGCACCTAGGACGCCATCGACCAGTTTCGCTCGAAGGATGGCAGTGAGGACATCCTGCGTTCCTACCAGCCAAGCTAAGGCTATCAACGCATCTCTATTATGTTCGCCGTCTTGCGACAAGCTGTAGAACTCGATCACTGGGTATTGTAAGAGTGCGAGATGCAGCTTCACCGCCGACGGAGCATCTGGAAATAAGATTGACCATGTAAAATCTTTTTATAAGAGACATCAATTAAGTACATGCATTTGCACGCGTGTACTCGTGCTAAAATATATATCGTATAAATATATACAAAGAAATATTAATATTATAATATTACAATATTAAATAAAAATCATACAAGTGAATACACAATTAATTATTATTATTATTATACAACTATTTATTATAATATTATAATATTAAGTGAAAAGGAGGTCAAAATTAGATGTTGGAATAAAAAATAATTC